TTTTGCCTGCTTTTTCCACTTCAGGCAAGACAAGTTTTTCCACTTTTTCAGTTTTTAAATGCAATTTTTTTGCGTTTGTTTTGACTTGTTTCTTAAAGTTTAAAACAGGGCAATGGCAAACACTTTAGCAGTTAGCTCTAAGAAATAATACACAACAATCACAGCTGCTGGGAATACTGCATGGGACCTTTTTGTTATTAACCATAATCTAAATTTTCTTCTTTCCCTGCATCATCTGATTCGGTTTCGGCTTTGGCTCACCATATACGGATGAGCAAATAGGCAATGCTGTCACGGTCAACAACCCCAGTTACCCCTTTTTGTCTTGTTTTTTAGTTTCATCCCGCCTTGGAGATTTGTAACCGAGCAGCTGTTCACCAAGCGACTGAAACGAAGAGCGATGGGACCATGCTGCAAAGAGAGTATGGCAGGGGGATCAGTGAAAACAGAGAAATTCGAATATTTAATAAGGCATACCACAACGATCCTTCGCTTGACGAGGCTTTGACATGACATAACAGATGATCCCAAACAGGATGCTGTGTGCGTGCCTTAAAATTCAAATATTCTCGTAAATTAAATGGGGGAATGCCTTCTTTTATCCAATTTCCAAAATAGCGATAAGCATCTAATAAAACTTTGGCACACACGCGCACATGTCCTTGACCACAAGACGTTAGGATACGAGCACCCAACCAGTGGGCTGTAATTAATGAAGTGTTGACCGAGTCAAAATTAATGCAGAACTTTGGCATGCCTCTGTAAGAAAACGGACCCGAAAGTAAAAACCCTTTTCTGGGGCAACACATGTGTGACGGGCGAAGGGTTTTGATTGTGGCAGAGGATGGCTGTGGTTCGCAGTCCAGTACGTGTGCTAAGTGGCATGTGGTCAAATGGGCACAAGTTTCGGGTCCATGGTCAAGAATAGTTTCAATTTACGCCTTATGAGAAAACATTCATCAAACGTGCTCCAGAAATGTGAAATGTCAAAAATTCGGGCACACACCCCCGCAATGCCTCCTCTGCAGCTGTTAGTGCAACCCTTATCGAGGGCGAAATGGGTTAACTGTCCGGTTTGTGAGTTTGAGCGGGCGGGTGTGAGTGTCCGGTTTTGGAATAATTAATCACAGACTCACATGCGATTTGTAAAGTTAATTGCCGTGGCGAAAGCTCATACTAGAGGAGAAGGGTTCGATGCGGTTTGTAGCTTATGAAGGGGATTGGGGTGAAAGATGTCTGTGTATGCCTAAGTGCTCGCCGTGTCTCAAATTACTGACAGTTTAGCACATATTCCAACTGGACGTTGCTTGAGCATTTATTATTCATTTCCTGCCCTTAATCCACCCGAAACTCCTCTACATACATCTACTCGGTCCATGTGCCAGAGCCAACATTTTCCACTGACAACGACAGCGTCGTTGAGTGTACCTGGCTTCTATCTTGGTTTGACTTGACTGCAGTGTTTGCTGACGGTCCTGAGGTGCTTTGCTGCTACAACAGTAACCAGTTATTTTTCTTATACTCCGGCTATGACCAGGACCTGCTTTGCTTAAAAAGGTGTCATGAAAAATGCATGGCCAGGCACGGCATTGAGGTGCTAAGGTGAAAAGATAAAATCAGTTAAGAGTGCGGCACATGGCTAGATAAGTGTTACTTCTTGTATGAAAAACTTTGTACCAGTCTACTTCCCAAAAAGACCAAAATAAAATAACTTGCACCCAAAATAAATCAAAATTTAATTCCAACAAATTTAAAGAGCCTAAACAGAACAGCAATGGCAAAGTTGAGAAGCCATTTATTGATTTTATTATACGAATGCGAAACTTTTGTCAACATGGTAGGACAAACACAAAGCAGGCTTGCCCAACGGCATGACAATTCAAAAGATGTGTGGGGAAATAGTTCAGACTTCTAATTTGATTTGGAAAATAGTTCGGTAAGCATCACATGACAAACCCCTTAAAGGAATGAGTACCGAGTGTATGTAGCTTTTGTCTATTTATGATAACTGTGAAGTCCCAGATCGGCCTAGATTATCATCTGTCCAAACCTATATAGAATGTCAAATTTAGCCAAGGTGTGCTGTGTAAGAGACAGTACTTGTATAAACATATGTACATACATAAAGCCCTATAATATAATATATTTAAACGAAATTGAGTTCCAAAATTAGTTGCATGGCGCCTTACGTTATTGTTATATTATAATTATGGACGATAAAAATATAATTACCAACAATTTCTCTCATTAAACTTGAACTTTAATAGGCCGCACGCAATGTTGACCCATGCAGGCATAAATAAATAGAAAACACAACGAATTTCACACGAATATTCATAAATTAATCAAAAATATTGTTTGTCCGTTCAGCCCTCCAATACGGAATGAGAGGAGGGAGCAAAAGGTCGCCGCCCACACGCGACAATTGACCCTTTTGTTAATTAAATTTCAGAGACAATGGAAGGACATTTCGTGTGTGTGCCATGATGATATGCAAACAAGCAAACAAATTGGTAAGAAGATGGGGAAACTGTTTGCCCAGCTAATACGAAATGTATCGCCTGCCCCGATATCCATCGCATGGCCCTCCATTTAAATATATGCAATAAACGATAGTGTGGCTGGTGGCTACTGGTGACCAAAAACACAACGAAATATGTCCCATAAATTCACGGCTGAATTTAAGAAAAAAGGGTTGACGTTGACAGAGACTCGGCGTGTAGTGACACCCTCCAGTTTCAGCCCTCCAACTGGAAGCTAACATTGATATCCTGATACGTATATAGATAGAGCAGAAGGATATGGATTTCCTGCATATGATGTTTATTCTGGTGTCTATTAGACCACATAAATTATTAAGGCGCATACAAAATGTGCATGTAGTTTATTAGCACTTGAGGACTTGGACTCGGGTCTCGAACTCAAACTCGAACTCTTGCGTGTGCCCTTTTGATGTCCTTTGCATGTTTGCTCCTCTCGCCAAATGTACCCATTTCTCTATTTGTATTAATTTACATACGACACGCAGTCTCGCACTTTGGCCATCATCTATGAGTAAAGAGAAAGGACGAGGATGTCATTCGGCCTAATGGCCTGACATTTATGATATATGCGTGCGTCCAAATGTTGGTCCGCTTTCAATTAGTTTAGGATAAGTTTTATGCAAATGGTGTGTCTGAGTGCCTTAGGGCGGGATAAAACTATCTAAAAAATGTATTTGAAAAAATATTTTCTTTTAGGCTTCTGGAGTAGAAAGGCAATTATGTATAATCTAAGCCCCAACGCTGCATGTTTTTGTCTTAGCAGTGTTTCTTCGCGTTAGTTTCAAACACACGCATACATACATCCCTTAGCAATGCCCATCCCGAGCTGTAATTCTAGAAATAAATATATATACAATTCAGCAAATATGTATAATTGTGTCAATCAGCATAAATTAAAGTCAACAAAAGTCAAAAGCAAGTAGAAATAATATTATTAGATAAATGATATCAAGGCTTCTTTAGATGCGGCCGGCAAACGAAACACCAAAGACCAAAATCAAATCAACGGCCAACTCGGAGAGTGAACAGGCGGGTGGGTGCTTCGCCATCAAGAAAACTGAGAAGGACATCACTATCGCCATCGCCATAAACGAGTGCCGGACATCGCCCGAAACTCCCACTGACAAAGTCTTGGCAATAATTCAACTTATCACCGGCGGATATTAGAATGGAAAGCCCAAAGGACAACACATCCGGGGTCCGGACAACCTCGAGGGCGCGTCAATAAAAACACATTCAAATGTTGCAGTTTGAAATTTCGCCCTGATGCCATTTTACGAGTACGGAAAGGTGTTGACGCTTATCAAAGCCAAGTGGGCCAGTATCTTGAGCGCTAAGTGAAGCTCGCGCACTTCACCATCAAACTTTTTTGTCACTTCTTTGAATTTGGAGTTTGCATCTTGAAATCTCGTGTCCAACCCCAAACTCTTATTCAAAATGGAAATCCTTTAAAAAAGCTAACAAGAAACTCACCCCGTCTGGGAGCGAACCTTCTATTTACATTCGTTTACTTCGATCTGTGTTTTAGCTTTTCCTCTTTGGCTGTTGTGTGCTTTGGAGCATCCTTTAAAGTGCCAAGGTGCCGGTTTGTAAATATTTTCCTTGAACAAACTTGACATTTTTGTGGGGCCAGAGCACAAATGTGGGAGATTGGGGTGTGGGAACAAATTAAAGCTCACATAAAAACTTACAGAATCAATAATTCAGGCTTTGACTATCATGTTCTTATGCATACGAGTAAACGAGTATTTTAAGGATTTGAAAGTACTACCCCCATTTAAAGCAGCATTAATATAAAATTCACATTGCAGGATCGGAAAGGTTAACAAGAAAAGAATTTTGCAATTTTAATTTCTGCTCAGTAAACACCAAATGGATGGCAATAAAAAATATAGGAAATTGTAATTCGAATTTTATAGCAGCAATTAGACCGACCTCCTCGAATAAAAATCATAAAACATTTCAAATGTCTGGTAGAAAGAGTTTTGGGAGAACTCAAATCATTCAGCTTTCAAAAACAGCTTTCCGGACATGCCGTTTAGAATTGAATGCTGTTGAAACCGCTGAGGCCAACGAAAGAAGGGTCTCTACCGAATACCACCCTGAACTCCATGAATAATCTAAAAAGTCATATGGCATATTTCGTTGCATAAAAGCAGTTCTGTAGTATTTTTTGAATTTTATTTGGTGGTTTGCAGATACTTCCATCTCTGCGTTTGTATGAATCTTCATCTGTGTAATTCTATAATGTATTTTTTCCGCCTTTCTTTTAGATATTTTACCTAAATTACAAGCTGGACTCCAACACCAGATCAGCTCTGAATAGCTGTTCAATAATGCAAACCAATTCTGACCTATTTTAATGATTCGCTACAGCTATAAAAATTTCACCTCCTACGGTTTCTGAACTTAACAGTCTACTTGTGCATAATCACAGTTCTAATCTATATTCTAATTACTCTGTGGTTCGACTATAAAAACTACACCTCAGAATTTTGAAAATATCAGTCTTCTGTCTCGTTCGCATAGCATTGAGTCTCCAGTTCTGCTATGGCGCGACAATCGGTAAGCCACTTTCAAAATAGTTTACTGTTCCATGCAGTACTACTACTTACTATAATGCCTGGTCAACTGGTTATTTTCAGATACTCTTCCTGTGGCTGGCCTTGGTTGCCATTGAGACCTCTAGTGCTATTGTTAACGAGTTAGCCCAGCAGGCTGAAAATGCAGTTCAGGGCCTGGCAGACATTCACTTGGCACCTTTGCGCTATCTAGACGTACTTTTCGGCACCAACCATGGGGTAGTTCCATCTCACTATACAGCGGCCAAAGCTGCTGCCTATCGTCCGTACAGTAGGATCTCTGCTGGCGTAGGTCAAGGAAGTGATTTGATTACCATTATCAAGAACCCACGCTCCCCTTATAGTTACGGAATTCCAGGTTATGATTATCCCACATATCTCAAGCCTTTTTATCGGAAAGGCATCCGTATTGGAGCTGGTGGAGTTCTTATTGGCCCTAATGGACTACCTCTGGCACCGAACGGCCTACCTATTGGACCGGATGGGCTACCTATTTCACCTTTCGGTCCAGACGGTCTCCCCTTCGGACCTTTGGGTCCAAACGGTTATCCGTATCTACCCTTCGTTCCAAGCATTGGTCATCGGCATACCATTAAGGGTCCTAGCGGTCCTTTGGGTGGAGGTGTTGGGACCAATCGCGACGGGAACCATGTTCCAGGGACACCCACTAATGGTGGTTGGTTTGGCAACGGGGGTTTCCTTGGCACAGGACTCTTTGGCAGTAAGGGACTTTTAGGCACAGGATTCTTAAGCAATAGAGGTTTGAACCTTGGGCCCTTGGCCCCATTCCTTAACCCATTAGGACTCCCAATACCAAACATATTCCCAAACCCATTTGGAAACATATTCGGGGCTTTGGGCAACTTGTTTGGCCTCAGCCCATCAGTAGGTCCGACTGCAAGACCAGGCGGTGTGACTGCATCGGCAAGCGGAGGCGTAGCAGTAGCACGAGTAAGACATCCACTAGCCCTTCCCGGCGTCCAAGGAAGCATCACTCTCGATGTTCAACCACCAACGGGATTATTGGGACTGATACACCCCTGGCTGAATGTGTTCGGTTAGAAAGAGGATTCATGCCGCACCCACCACCGTAACGAACAATTGATTGAATATTGCAATGAAAACGGCTCCGATGGTTTTACGCTTAGGATTAATATTTTAGTATTAAGAAATGACAAGTGTCTGGGTTAAATTAACATTTGTCTTGGCCAAGCTTTGTAATTGTAATACCCAATAATAAAATTAAGAAGCATTCCAAATCCAAGGTGATTATTTTGAACAAAAAACGAACGTTTTATACAAGACAAACATCGACCATCGGTCTATCGGTTTTTAATTCAGCTAAACAAAATTAAGCGAATAAATGCTTAATCGCCCTATTTTAAAAGTCCAATATTGGAGGGAAGAATACCACAGAACTACAAGCTGCGCCCCAGAGAAATCGGTCAAAATCCGATCCTTAGAGTAGAAGTTTTTTAGAACTTCATACAAGTCGGACTCTCAAAGCATTGGATCACGAAGTCCAGAAATATTAAAAAGACTTGGAGAACAACAAAACAATTTTTTTTTTTTTGTGTGCATACGATAGACAGAGGAAATAGCAAACGACCTTACAAACATCACATACATCTGTAAGAGTACATTATACACATATACGTATGTCAGAATGCTAAAACAAATTAAATGGTATATTCCAATTCTATGTATACGATATAAAGGTATTTGCTAAGGCTATCGGAAAGGTTCAGAAAGACTGTTCAGAGAATACTTACCATAAAAGCAAAAAAGCCAGCGGACATAGTTATGCGGACTCGTCTCGCCAAACATAAAGGTAACAAAAGTCTGAAAATAAGACATGAAAGTTCTTTAGATAATATATTTATACCCACCAAAAGTGGGATATGTGGTAAGTGGAGGTGCACGCAGAGGGAAACGTTCCGACCCCAAAGATAACACAGCCAAGCCGAGCTAATGCCGTCGCCGCCGCGCCGCGCCGTCCGCCGTCTGAGAGCGCCGGACGGACATAGGCTGGAAACCAAATTTGGTTTCCAGACTCATGTGATCGACGACAGGATCCCCCCCCCGCCCGCACAGGACGAAAACGGGGCGAGATACGTAAGGATCGTAGGAGCCCACACCAGATTGCGACGAATCAGACGGATCATATATAGCTAGATGGAAATTTTCAGTGCTTCCCCCCCCCCCGGCCACGACAATAAACTCATTCCCGACCGCGGGGCCCGGGGGGAGGCGAGGGGTTGGTGGAGGGTGTTTTTCTCTCAAGTATCGCGTGGGTTGTGTCGCGCTCACCCCCGTTATAAAATGTAGATGAGAATCTAAGCCAATTTAGGCATTCTAAAGTTTTATGGAAATCGTTGAAAAGCTCGACAGGAAATATTGAAGTGTGGAATACTACGAATGATCTTTTCTCTTAAAAGGTTTACGATTCACATTATACACGCAATATGTATTTTAATAAAAATTACAATATACATATGAGTTATTTTGTATATAAACGCTAGCTGGAAAATCAGTTGCGGAATTATCTTCGAAGTAAAAATTCTAAAATGAGGCGTCTGTTGGTAAGTTGACATCCCCAAATATTGCATCCAGCTATATATTTTCTTCCCAGGTGCTTGTCCTAACATTGGCTTTGCTGACTGGCAGTGCTTTTGGCTCTCTTGCATTTTGGCAGGCTTTGCTTGGAGGAGGCTCTTTTGGTTCAGCCGGATCTAGTGCGAACAGTGAATCCAATGCCATAGGCTCAGATGGTTTGAGCGGAGGAGTCAGCTTTGGTCTAGGCATCCCACGAAAACAAGTGCAGTTTGGCGTTGGCTACTCACGTTAACTCCCCGACTTTGTCGCGGAATCTCTAGCAGTTGCTTTGAGCTGTGGTTAGTTATGGATATGTGTATGAAAATGCAAATAAAATAAAATAATTACTCAATGCAAACTGAAAATGGTAAACTATTTAATAAGGGAGGTTATTTTTTTAAGGTGAACATTGCCGAGAAATTCTTAAATTGTTTCCATGGTCGGGGAACACTCCGAGCGTGTGTCGAACTCGGATGTCCCGCGCTCATGTCTATTACATCAGCCAGGGTCGTTGCCCGTTATGCCGTAACATTTTCTGTCAAAAATTTGTATCTACATATGTATATTGTATAATATACATACGTACATACATATATGTAAGTCAGCCGGCTACTGTTAAATCTGGAAGAACTTTAGCAACAAAGCAAATAAACAAGCAGACATAAAAATGTATGCTGACTGCCTAGTCATAGGATTTCAAAAGTCTGATTCAAATTTGCCTAGTCATAGGATTTCAAAAGTCTGATTCAAATTTGATCGAAATTTAGTGCTAGGGTTCATGAACAAAAAAATATTACCCATTTCAAGCACAGGTACGAGTACTAAACCCTGGAACGTTTGCATTTCAATGGTTTCATAACTTCTATGCGATATTTTTCTGTGTGAAATGGTAATACGACTATTAATATCGTAGCGAATCAACTTATCTAGAATTTAGAACTCTGCAAAAGGTTAACTACTTAAATTATCATATTTTCAATATGCATTTAAATCTGAATGATAAGAATTCGTTTCTATATAAACGCTAGCTGAGCTTCCTCGGGTCATCAGTTCGGGAACTGTCTACCAAGAAGACTCTCGAGTTAAGTTTCTAAAATGATGCGTCCGTTGGTAAGAACACATCCCTAAATATATATTTCATTGAAATTTAGCCACCTATTAATATTATTGTATTCCCAGGTGCTGGTCCTAACATTGGCTTTGTTGACTGGCAGTGCCTTTGCCTCTCTGGCATTTTGGCAGGCTTTGCTGGGAGGAGGAGCTGGAGCTGCATCCGCCTCAAGCTCTAAAGCGGTATCCAATTCCTATACCTTAAACACTCCCGGTATAGGCGGTGGCATAGGCGGTGGTTTATCTTTAGGTTTGCCCCAAAAACAATTTCAGGTTGGGATTGGCTACTCATGATTTTCGCGATTTGGTCGCGAAACTCTTTAGCAGTGCCAGTGCACCAGTGTGGTTAGGTTTTTTTATATAAAATGGATTTATGTATGGATATTAAAATACAATAATTACTTAATGCAAACTGTAAATGATAACGAGTTTATAATGGAGCAAGTTCTTTGATTTAGGGTAGTGCTAAAACGTAATTGAAAGACGTCACAGAGGGTAAAACTAAAGACAAGATGCGTAACGATCATATGTTTCAATTGCCATATACATATATATAGCAATTTTTCGGCAAGCGACGAATTCTCGCCATCTCGCTCGCACAAATTTTAGAGCGTAAAAATCTAAAAATAGAATGCGCTTGCATGTGTGAATGCATATGTGTGCGTGACTTGAGCACAGCAAACGACTTTCGAGACGCATTCGGGCTTCACGAAAATTTTCTTATTGACACGACGCACGCTGAATACCCTAATGACAATTACTAGTATGTGAAGTCATGTTAGAAATAGTTGATGTAGTCGTCGGATGCCGCTGCATGCATACAAGAGAGCGGCTGGCCCTAGACTAGGGCCTAGAGCGCTCTCTTTCTGGCTTTTAAACAACATTTCGTATGGTGTTACGAATCTTATTGTTATATTGTCTTTGGTAAAACGTCAGGAGGTTCGATTTATAAGACCGAAGGAATTCCTGAAATGCAGCAGTTGACTAGCGAATTTATAATGAGCCCTCTCCCCTTCCTACGGATCCACCATTTTACGGTTTGAGACTCCAAGATGAAAGGCTTACGGACGCCACCATGAATGCGTAATGACGGAGTTCTCCTTTCGATGATAAGAAACGACAAAGGGTAAAAATTGACACATTAAATGTAAGATGCCCGTTGGTGTCCATTTTAATTTCTGGCCACATAAACCGCCAACACGCGCCATTCACGTCTACATCCTTTCGCAATGCCGCTACACACTTCTTTACCCCCTGGTTTCTAGGTATTGTCACCCTCTTCCACTCATTGCTTTGTTCACCCACTTCGTTAGTTATGTAAATGACTTTGTTAAGTCTTTCCATTGTTGTTTCGTCCTCTGCTTTGGCTCCCAAAGATAACTCTCTCGGCAATCTGGCAACGCTGTTATCACAAAACACACACACACACACTCACTCACGCATGTTTTCGCTTTTCGAGTAGGCACAGATTTTAACCCTTTGAAAGCATTACCACCCCAAAACGAAGAATCCCTTTGACTGCCCATCTATATACTTTCCTATGTACAAAAGAGGGGAAATTTTCTCGAAATTACGCATGAAAGTTGCGTACATAGACCTGTACATACAATATCTGTGTATGTACCTCGACTTGTGTGGTATTTGTTTTCGTAGTATTCTTTCTATTTTCCATTTATGGCAGCATTTTCTTCACAGGTACCATTTTCGGTAAAAAAATTGAGCTATGTGCAAGTTCCATCTCTCCATAGGTCCTGGAGAAAGCCCAACAGCTTCTGGCCTGTAAAACTTCTCTCGTTAAGGAATTACTCGTATTTGTCTCTTTTGGTATGGTACACTCATATTTTCCGTTTTCTCATCATCCGCCTGAAGCGTGAATCCGCTCCGTAAATTCCCGCCCCACATTTTCCCTAAGTTAAAATTTAAAAGAAATTAAACCCCAAGGACAGCGTCTCTGTCTCTGCTCATGCTGTCTCCTTGTATTTTTCTATATTCTGCTTTGATTAACATTCGCTGCTGGATGCTGAATGGAGGCGGCAGTCTTCCACCATCTTCCAGCTAAAACCGAGGGTTTTAATTACTTTTGGGGGTAGTTTTTGAATTTACTTTCTCTTTTTTTTTTCGACAGACAGAGCGGAAGACAGTCGCGGCACAAAACTTAAAGTAATAGGACTTTTCTATACATCATAGGGATATGATCTCAAAAATTATCCCTTATGCTCACACGCCTTTGCTTTGCCAGAGGTAAAGTCTTTCTCCTGGCGACAAAAAAAGCCTCTAAGCATGTCCTATTCAATTATCTTTTTCTATCTATTCACATTGTACAATCTGTATGGAAGACGTTGCGGGGAAGTAAAATTCAATCTGCTTTTCTCTATTGTATGGTGGCATACTCGTATTCCCTGGGGTTTATTTTGCCACGGATTTAACCACTTGTCCATGATATTTCAATTTTTTTTGCTCGTTGACCACATAAAACCGGAAATAACTTAATTGACCTCGGGGAATGGACGAAGATGGGGGAAAACATGGGTGGATATCATTACAAATCGCATCAACTGACCAAAGCCTTAAGTGATTTGTATCCATATCTGTTGCGCCGGGTTACGGGCAACAAGGAGGGTCGTCCCCTGGTCAATCGAGCCCATGTCGGGCCCTCCCTTTTATTGTTCCGTATCTCCCCTGTGTGTATATTGGCCTGTTTGTGCTTGCTTTTGGGCTGCCGAGGGGCTGCTCAGGGATGGTCAGTCGGTTGGTCAGTCGGTTGTCGTGTCTGCAGTGTTGCGTGTGTGCTGTGTAAACAAATCAATTACTGACGCTAAATGCATTTCGTGAATTTGAATTTTAAATAAGATATGTTCCCTTTGTTCTTGTTGGGCTTTATGGTCAGCTTTGTTCACACCTCTTTATGTCCGAGGGGTCACTCATGTTTGATTGTCATTTAAATGGATTTTGAAATGGCTGAATGGGCTGGTCATTTGAAGGCTTAACAGCCAAGTGACAGGGTGAAGCTAATTATAATTATCAAGCTAATTAAGCCACTTCAATTGTCATGTGATGTTCACACCTTCACAGCCACTTCACATTTACTTGTCCTACAATTAATCTCTTATCTTAATCCTCATTCATTATTCATTATCATCATTTGCCTAATCAAAGGCAGGCCTCCTATGGCAGCAGTGATTGCCACATGTAATGCATATCCCACTTGTACTTGCATCTCTTCTCACTTGCACGGCCCTTTCCCTTGCCTGCTGTTCGCTTTTATTCCACACCACTTGACTAAAGGCTGACTCGCATTCAAAGCATTTAAGTGCGAAATAATTCTCCACTCCTCTTGCTGTGTGCAGTAGCGCCTCTGCGGACTGCATCCTTGCAACCTTACATCCTTGCTGCCTAAATAGTCCTTTATTACAGTCAACTGCGAGTCAAACGAAGTGCAACAGTCAACGTGCTGGTGCATATGCATTTCAATGCAACGTAAAAGGTCTGCCCTTGTCCGTGTCCCTGGCCATAATCCCACACCAAGTTCGCTTCTCGTCGTGTTGCACATGCGGTGCAGCCGCAACCCCAGTCTCTCTCTGTCTCTTAGCTGCAGTAAAACCTCTGCTTGCATTATCCTTTACAATTTGTTTTCTCTTTGTTTTGTTTTGACTTTTTCATTGTGCACTTGAATGCTTTTCAGCCTGCCGCAACAGAATGCATAGAGAGGGGTGCATATGGAGGAGTGCATCACACATCCTTTTTCAGTTTTCGCACTTGGATTTGAGGAGGTGGATAAGCAACACCATGGGTCTCCGTCACACAGGTGCAGACAGGGGGGTACAGCTTTAAATCTTTTTCAGACCTATTTTATTAGCTGCTAGTGTGGAATTTATAAATATAGTACATAAATAAATAAATTAGTCCAGTCGTGCCAGTTAGCCAATCATCTTTTCTGCTAAACTGCGAACAACATTCTCATCATAGTCCTCAATATCGTCATCGCCATCGTCGATGTCCACCCCATTTGGTCTCGTCGGATAGCTCTGCTCTGGTGGGACGATCTTGACGCCGTGATCGCCAAACAAAAGACAATCAAAGTTCCTGAAAGTGCACAGAGGATATTGGATGCAGTAGACTGTATTGATTCTCTTATTATTCCTTCTCACCTCTCGAACAATTCAAAGCCCTGAAACTCCCCGGACATGTACATGCAGACGTGCATGTTACGACCCACAAACCAAATGTCATGGAACTGAATGCAAGCCCTGGCAAAGTTGAATCGTGGCGGTCTGAAGCACATCGGCGGCGGATTCTGTCCAGAAACTTTCTGACGGAACCAAATGTTGTTGTTAACGCGCATGCGCAACTCGAAAGAAAACTCATCCGGACGGTAGGCCACTTCTGTGCAGCTGTTCATGCCGATCACCGAGAGGAAACCTTAAGACGATTTGGTATTACACTTTACACTATACGGGGCACTGGATAGTTTCATAGTTTCCGTAAATCTGTCGACTTACCCGCACAGCATTTGCATAGCCCAGTGTCACAGCTACAGGGTATGCGATTCACGAGATTGTTTAGTGTTATATTGGGCAAACTAAGTTGTCTCGACTCCTCCTCATGGGCGAGCAGGTTAAGACGATGGTTGAGCAAGCCCAATTGTAGAGCAGCATCGTATGCTAGGTCGTCGGCAGGAGCCTGAAGTGGCACTAAGGTGGGGCGTAGTATGAGAGAAGTGTAACACGGTGTACGGGTTTCGATACGGCGGCTACTTGGCTGGCTACATTGAGACTTCTAGACAGTTTAAGATTTAATCTACCTTATTTTCCCAACCATCGGCATATTAGTAAATACAAACAGGATCAGAAATTCTGCGTTTCTTAAAGTAACTATATTTAATTGCACCAACTAACATCCGTTTTATATTGAGATTAGTAGCTCAAGTAGCTTAACAATACGAAGCTAACAAAAAGTAACACAAAACGTAAACAGACGGGAGGAAACAACCAACCAAATTTGCCTAATCATCTTCGACCAACTTCCGCATGTCCAACAGTTCCGCGTCAAGACAGCAGGCTGACGAAGGCAGCAGCACAACACAAGAGCAGCCGCAGTCAGCGCATAACAGTTTAAACTATTAACCTTGACTGCAGCCAACGCCACAGAGCCAACAAAACCAGTCGTCTGAGCAAAAAGAAATGAAAAGGTTTTTGATGTCAATGAAACCAACGAAACAACCAGCCGCCGCTCAAACGAGCTGGGTAGTAAGTGCGAGAGCGAAGTGGTCAAGATCATGGACAGCAGAGAGACAACAGCGATGAGAGTCTCAGTGGCTGCTCTCTTTAGGATGAGTTGCCAAAATGACTGAAAAAAATACATATGAATGTAAGCGAGTTTGTGTACAAATGTACGTATGTTTCTTGGCTTGGTGCAAATCAGTTTCAAATTAGCTCTGCCTTAAAGGCAGAGAATAAATTTAATTATGCGATAAGACAATCAGAAGAAACACTCCCCCTGTCTGGGGAATTCTTTAGTGATAGGATGTGAATTTGTATTATGCGAATCCAAGGCTGGCATTGAATTGACGGCACGTTTCTGCTTGTAACTTGCGTGTGCAGCAATTGTAAAATATTTAATTGGCTTTGCAGTCTTAAAAGTTTACGGGTTGGTGGTTGACATTCAAATTGTTCGTAAATGTATGTAATACTATGTATATACGTGCTTCAGTTTAAATACCGAAAACCTAATTTTTTGACCACTAAAAAAACCACTGCTGCTGGAAAAGAAAATGATTAATTTATGCCTTTGTCCACTAAAAACACCATCCCATATATAACAACAAAAATGACATGTTTATTGTACGGTTTAAATAACACAGTGCCTCATATTAAATATCACAAATATTACGAGTGTTTAGATCGAACCACGATTACTTCACTACATAGTGATGCTCGTTATGTTCTCCAAATTCCTGAAACTTAAAGCTTTAGGTATTTACAAGCTTAAGATATTTACATATAGTATATACATAAACAGCTATATTTACATATAATCTCTTTATCTCTTAATGAAAATTCGTCAACCAGGGAAACTATGGTATACACATACTCCAGACACTTACGGTACTTTATGTTAGGCAAACATTTACAAAGCGATAAAATATCGGCATTGCAAATGGATTAATAAAGTTAATAGCCAAATAGTAGAAATAGGACGTAAAATAGGAGTTCTTTGTACTACCGGTATCCGATTTAGAAACGGCAAAAAGCGAGGCGGCGCACAGCAAGTAGAAAAACAAGCGGGGATGTGAGCTGGCAGCTGGCATCTTGAGGAAGACCAATATCAGGAAACGAAATTGAAATCAATCTGAATCGGAATGAAGGTTGCTGGTGACCTGCTTTGCAGTCGATGGTTTCACACGCTTTTGTATTTCGGTGTGTCTTTCGAATTTTTACGCTTTTTCTCTGGGCTTCTTGGGTGTGAATTTTTGGTTCGTTTCGATAATAAACAAAAATGTATTAAACTCCACTTGGGCACGCAACTTTCGCTCTCGTGCAAAAACCGACGAAAGTCTGTTAAACACCCAACTTCAATTAACTTTTATTTTCTATACTGCGTCGACTTGCGTATACTCGCATTTATATGTTTTTCACACTTGGCTCGGACTCTGATTTGGACTCAAGGCGCGGGCGCAGCTCCGTACGTGCTAATGGCCAAAATACAACTGGCCAAGAAAGCGGTAGCGCATGCGCATGCTAAGTTCAGAGCGGACCAGCAGACGGCAAGCGGTCGCACGGTCGTACGGTCGTACGATTGACCATCGACAGATCCAATACACACTCACACTCTTTAAAGCAGAGACGGGCCCCAGACGATAGCGATGAAGACAGTATCTGGCTTATACCCTACAAAGGGAGTTTGTTCAATTTAGTTACGTTTTAATCAAACACAAATAGTGCTGCAGATCCGATGGATTGACTCCAATCCATCTTAATAGTTTTAATAATGTGATACATAGAAGATTTAGTCCAACGATATATCCGTCCGCCCTTCAGGGTATCAACACTTCGTTCATCGAATTCTCTCTTATCATATTTAACTTTTAAGCAAGAGCAAAAACCAGTATTTTTATGCATACTCGTAGTTAAGTCTCCTGCTGCCTTCGTCGCTATTTTAAACTCTGTTATAATTTCTCTGAGAGCATCTTCGCGAGAGACTCGACTCTCACTTTTTACTGTGGGGTCGAGTAGGCAGTTTTTGGCTTGAAAAATGTACAACATTTTAATTAAGTTGTCACCTTAAACGGCGTCTCGATCTCGACGGGTCTTTCGAGGCTGTTGCACTTTTCGGAATCTGTTGGAGTGTCTATCGAATCTTATTAAGTGTTTGTTTACTATCTCCACGATTGTATTCGGCCTTAGGGGCCCGTTACCATTGTGTTAAGATGGGGCCTTCTGAGTCTTGATTCCACTTTAGTGCCGTATGTAAATAATTGGTTGGCCAGGCCAAAAGTTTTTATTGTAATAAGAAACGGCATGTCGGAAATAGCACACTTTCATTGCCCAAAGATATTTGCATCGCACTCGATACATGATCAGGTTTTCGCCCTCAAAGGCACATGTCTAGGATTGAATAGGATTGTCTCATGCTTTTCTGAAGATTTTTGTTATAACCTGTTTGCCGAATGATTGAGTGGAATTTAAATAGAACGCAGTGTTTTCTACTCCATATATCTGACGGCAAGACAATACACAAAACTCTACGAGTATAAATGTACATGTGTACGAGATTTGGATTTGGATGGAGTATTCGGATGTCCATTAAATTAAAGTTTGCTGTGGGTCCCTTTTTTCATTTCTCTATGTGTACTCTGGGTTAACTTTCGATTGGGGTGGCATTTTTGCATTCTACAATCATCCATTGCGTGACTGACTAGCGCCATCCAAAACCGTAAGACCAGGTAACGAGCCCAAGCCACGACCATATGATTATCTTTTGTGGTGCAATCGAAAATTGATTTGTGAAGCTGAAAAAGCGGCCACCCCGAACAGCAGCCACAGCATGACATTCAAAATTTTTTCTCAGTTTGGAAAATCTGCACGTAAATCATGTGAAATCAATTTCTCTTGCACAATTTTCCACTTTTGGCAAATATGTCAAAAAAGGCCCAGGGAGCACTACTCTACTCTGCGAAAAGTCGTGAGTAAACATTTGGTTAGACCATGCTCGTTTTTTTTGTTGCTTGGTAGCATCTTGTGGTCTAATAATAGCATGTTAACTCATAACATGCTATCAATCACTCAAAGTTCGGATCTGCTTACTGTGGGCGCTGTGGATATGGTGAACAAGAGTATTCGTTGGGGCGTAGCAGGCGGATAATTCGCATGTGAAAATTGGTAAATCGTTGTTTGGCCTATTGCTGTCTAGGTTGTATAGGCTGTCTAGGTTAGACTCGAACATGGAACATGCAACCGACTGCATGCATCATTCAGATATGCAGTTACTGAAGTGGAATATGATTTGTGAGGCTTTAATCGTACTCGTGGCGCCAGACTGGCAGTCAGTCCGTTGCAGACTGATAGTTTTCAACTACATTCCCAAACAATTTCTATCTTTACTGAATTGATTTACCCAGGAAACTCTATTTCAAAATATTCATTCTGTTCAATGTAGTGAATTAAATATAAAAATCGGGAAAAAAATCTCGCTCTTCAGCTTTCGCTCGTTTGCTTTTACTTTTTATTTATGCTCTCTGTTCTCTCTTGCTTATATCCTTCTGAACATTTTTTCCCTGTGAGGCAGTCGTATTTTGATGTGCCTTTAAGTATGCTTTGAGTACGCTATACAAAATTTGTATACAATTTTGTTGTTCATTTGTTTTTGCGCTCGCCAAAAAAACAAAATATCAAAATGAAAAGAAAACATATATTTTTTTGTCTGTCGTTAGCTCAGAATTTTGTGGATAGGATGAGGGACGGGGGACGAGTGTTCGGTCAATACTAGGCAGGCATTGTGAGTGCTTTTCCATGATATTTTCCGCACACCTTACTCCTTCTATCCATTTTTCAGCCATCAGGTAGTAATAAAAGATGCCTCCCATAGGGAAAATTTGTTTTGCTTGTTTTTAAATTCCCACATTTCTGGCTTTGCTTTGTTGTGTTAATTAAGCAAAAATTTTATTAAAACGAGATGGAACGTTGTGAGTTTCTTCTGTTGCCGCGATTTCGCTTTGATATCCGTACTCAGTCAGTACTCAGTCAACTCTCAAGTAAAATACATATCCCCAAAGAGCTCCTCCGTTTCCGGAAATAGTTTCTTCTAATTGAGCTTCTTCTAATACTATACTATATACTCGGTGGTTGAAGTAGGGTACCTTAAAAGCTTTTTTGGCCATAGATTACGTGTATAGCCCCCGAGTAGAGTAGCCCGATCCAATTGCCTTTAAAGTTCCCCCGCCAGCAATAATTTGTTGGTTGTAATTAACCCTTTCTGCATGAGCAACATGTAAGAGGCCCTTTTCTCATTTCGCATTTCCTTTAGCCACTCCACTGCATTCATTGCACAAGAGAGCCCGAAAAATGAGGATTTGAAAACAAGGTTCAAGAACAAAAATTAGTTTCTTCGTTTTTTGGTTGATAACTGCCGAAAAAATGAAAGAATTGCAAAATGCAAGCCACATATTCTCCAAGGACACTTGACTTTCAGCTTTTTTTTGCCGTCTAGAGATGCAGGTCTAAGGGCTGGGTTCCTCGTTGCCCTCTGGTTGTTGACAGGTTTCTCGCTTCGTTTTGTGTAGACTCTAGACTTTTGGTGCTGCCAATTAATTAAGCGAAATAAAAGCCAAACAAGCTGGAAACGGAAGAGCGGTTGCGTTCATTAGTTACTTCTAGAAGGTGGAGAGGCGAGTTGAGGAGGGGGAGGTGAGGGAAGGTGAGGATGGTGTGCGGGTTGCACAGATTCTGCAATTCAATTTGCTACTCATGCAATTTGTTTCCTCAAAATGCTAAGCTTTAATATGCAATTAGTGCAATTCAATCAGCGGAGTCGAGCCCTGCTCTGGGGAGATGCGCTCGGGCGGGCGTCTGCTTTCCACAGAGGTGGACGATTGGTTGGGGTTACCCACGATGCCTTTTGCCACCTGCGGCTTGCGGTGATTAAGAGCAACATGAGCATAAAAATTGCTTACGCTTTGAAGACACAATCTTAGGCACCAGTAAAACGAGCATTTGCCAATACCTCGGCTCTGTGGTGTCGTTTATGGAAATAAGAAAACTGGAACTGCAGATCTAAATCTGCGATTTTGTATTGAGCCATTGGCCGGGTATTCAAGCTACCGATGGGCGCGTGTTACCTCGTGAAATAGTAATACTATCTGTTGGACGAAGTGAATTGGCGTCGACGTGCTCGCAACTTTCAACTGAGTGCATCATTTTTAGGTCTCAACATGGTTGACCAAGAACATAATAAAGACATTTTGTTCTCTGTTCTGAAGCAAGATACTTATATGCCGTGTCACGCACCCATCTTCATAGTAAACAGAGCTTTGTCGGCGCCTTGCAACTTGGTTACGACACATGATACAGAAGAGGGAAATTGCGGTTCGATCTGACCCATCGACTATCTTCTGAGCGCCAGATACAGATACTGGTGCTTAATTTAGATTTAACGACTTACTGCTCACAATTTATTGGCATAAACTTTAATTGAACAACTAAAAGCCGGGAGTGGAGGCCCGAAAAGAAATATTTGTAGGTGGTCAGTCGTCGGCAGCTTGCAATCAAATCGGGGGTTGGATTCTGTTTACCTGTGATGGCTCATGTGCCCCCTCGTGGCTATTGATCACGACTCTATTGCCAGCAAAAAGAAGACTCCCTTCTTGTCTATCCCTTGACCCATTTGCGACACTGACGGGCGACGAGAAATTGCAGTACCATTTTCCAGACATCTCTTTGCTATCTTCTAGCCAGACGCTGTTGAGACTTCTGAGGCACCAGAGGATGAAATTAGTCAAGTTTCAGCAGCTTACATGTTCTGTGATTTGCCAAATGTGCTTACATGTGGGTTGAAGAAATGGCTCGTAGGATTTCCTTCGCAGTCTGGCACTGAGTAGGAACGGGGAGATACTTCGACAACGTACCACCTGTTGAGTGGCTAGGCTAGTCGGGGTCATGTCCACACTGGGGGCGCCTGATCATTCGAAGCTTGTTGACTTTATGATCATAGACTGCTTAATGGCAAGCTATTAATTTTCCATATTTCCCACTTAATAGTTATTCGAGTCCGATGCTTTATGTTCCCTTGGAACATTCTGAATAGTTTGTAGGTGCAACTCGCTGACCCCTGCCTCCTGCCTTAGGTGCTGTTAGATATTCAACGGAATTAAGTGTTTCTATGTACATTCAATGCAACCATAAACTTCGTTATACTCATCTCATTTCCATGCATACTTTTAAGATACATACAATACATTCTTGCTCATAATTTCTTGCCAATCGTAGTGCAGTCACGTCCCATATGATGACGATGAAGACTGAGACATGGTAATCACGGGAGAATCAAGAAAACCAATCAACTGTGCCACTGGTGAAGGGCTTAGACGGATGGGTAAACAATAAGATACAACAATCTATCACGTATGTAATTCCCATGAAAAATTTGCACTGGGCTGCTACGATGATGCCATGATGATGATGCCAAATACAAA